CCTATTTATCCGTAAGATAGATCACAGATTTCCTTGGCTGAACTGTTGGCAAATCAGGGGCCCCAATCTAGGCAGCGCAGAAACAATTGTGGTTCGTCCCGTTTTGCATACTTGCAGTCTCTAGTTGGAACTGTCCCTGACTTTTGGGCTAATTTTGTTCTGGACACGTCGAAGTATCTATATACTGTCTTGCGATCCCTACCTGGAAATTGCGTACCCACTTGGAGCTTAGTGGGTGTGGTGCCGTTTGTGAAGACTAGGTCCAGGACACTATTGTACCTGGCAGAGTGTTCCACGTGTTGTTGCCAACCCTCAGTTTCAAGAATGCTCATAAATTTACCAAGGCGCTTTGGATAGCTGATTGGCTGCCACGTTATATCTGCCATGTTAGGGTCACCATATACAATTTTCGCTGTGTGTGTTGGTGATGACATGCTCGTTAGCTTTTAGTCGTATTCGACTAAGGAGCAAAAGGGTCGGTGAACGCATCCTTTTAGGAGGGATGTGGAGCAAGTAAGTTTGGTGATAACCCATGCTGAGTCACCAAACTCGTTTAGATCAGAGGTTGAGCGCTGCGTAGCAGTGATCTCGGACTTTGTATAGATAATGCACCCTCCTCCCTTACCATGTAGTCTGTTTCTCCTGAACAAGGAATAGTTGTCGATGGAGATCTCTGTGTCACAAATATCAGAGGTACACTATACTTCCGTGATCATTATCACGGACGGATCACTTATCAGGGATAGCATCGTAATCTCTTTCATTTTGTTGCATACTGAGCGAGCGTTAACCAGGGAAGACGAGAGCAAGCTAAGAGTACAAAAGTGTTTGAATATATCTTGAAAGAAGTTGACACTTCTGTGCATTCCATGTGGGTCCTTTGCGTGCATCATGCTAGCGACGTCACGACCTGTACAGGGCGACGATCCGGTACTGTTCACCTCAGAAGGAGCGAGGTATCCACCACATTGTGGTTGGTATGGAGACTGTTAGTCAGGGTACAGCGCAGATGATCCGACAGCATCCTAATCACTTACATTAATGATGGCGTTGCAGCCGTAGGCTGTCCGAGGAAACCCTGCTTATAGGAATTAACACGCACAGATAGATTGTATGGTATAGCTATCCGCTGGTTGCAGTTTACATTTTGACCATAGCCAAATTCATACTCACTAAGCTTTTCTCCAGGGAATCTACTGTAAGTTTGTCCTTGAGTGGCATATGACCCACTTTTTGCAGCATATGGGTGAGCCGGATTGCACAGCCTGTGGCTATCATTCGGCTCCCTATCCAATAGCCTTGACCGTTGAGGGGTCTGGCCGTGGTGCGTATCTGCTAATGACCGAGGAAACGTTAAGAAATATGGATCGTGCTTCCACAGTAACGATGACGTGCTGTCCTCCTTCTAGCTTTTGCAGAAGCAGAGAAACGAAACTCGAAGCACTGGGGACTAGTCGACGTTTTATTAGTTTTGATCAAGGGTGAAAGGAGGACTGATAGACGACCTCGTCTGAAAATACTTGGGCGGAAATGATGGAATCTGCAAGATCCGACAGGGCTTCCAAAGTAGCAGGCCCTTCAAGCCCCTTGTCAGCTGGGCGGCGTGCTGACCGGCCCGGACTTCTGCCCTTACTGCTTTTCCGAAGTTACCCAAAGTCTTTGACACGGTCGCATATATCAGGAAAGGGTGCCTGTCTGGGTACCACAGGTTGGTGACAGCCTACCTCAGGAATTTACCCAAAAGCGGAAAACTCCAAACACAGCAGACATGTTGTGCTCATCCTGAAAAGCCTCACTTTCCAAAACATCGCAAGAAGCCATTGAAAGTTTACTCCTATCCCTACATTTTGTGAATGATTTCGAGCTCCCCAGTCGCAAAGCAAACTGAAGACGTCAGGTCATTGGGAGCTGTGAAATCCCAGAGCTGCTTGAGTGCCTTGCAAGAAAGCTACGGGACTCTCGAAAATCCTGTAAAAGTGACAAAGTGGTACTAAACCATGATTAACGCAGGATAGCTTTCCGTCACAATCCAGATACTTTGAAAGTGCCCTAACCTCTTCGGTGGGCACCGTTCTCCTCACGCAACCATGAAGAAGAGTCCTGCTCGAAATTATCCAAGAGACGCCTTCACGATGACGTGTTACCACAGTTCATGCCGATGCCTTCGTTTCACAGCTCTATATAAGGTTTGGCAAGACTTATATACGACGCCACCAAGATGTCGAATACGCCGCCGGGTCACCACATCTAATAAGCGACAGGAATGTTTTGGGGAAGGTTCATAGACAAGCAAAGGCATTGAGAGGATGGACAGTAACGCATGGGGCGAGTTGAAGGATCTAGGCTGTACGCTGTTGGTAGTGGTAGGATTTTTGCTGATAAGCTGTTGGCCTACGAGGTTCCAAGCAATCCGAAGCACCCGAACGGTGATATATTACTTGAAGTTCTCCGTGTCGATTTCTGCGGAAGCCCAAAATGGTCATTCAGCAAGGGGTGAATGGCTGTGCAATCACACTTTGCTTCTTTCCGAGTAGCCGCGGAGCGTTATTCCCTGTGGGAGTCACTCTACTCGTCGATGGCTTCAAATAACTTTTTGACTGCCAGGCAGTGGCGGGTGTATTATGGCCATCCAGTAGGGACGCAGCATAGGCAGAATCTGGGGTAGCTCCGGACCACTCCAGTGCTTTCAGTTGCATTTATAACTGTTATCTTTAGTTGCAAGCATTGATTCTTGTGCAACCCAACATTCTACTTTTCCATTGGGTATGCTTCCCTTTCACTTGCCGTCTCATTTGCGATGACACTCCTGATTCGATTTTCCCGAAGCGCACACACACATAACCCTAGACACGTCTCCGAACCACGGCACGAACGGTAGATGGGTTCGTTCCACCTCCTGTTTTTGGATCTATTTTCATTAAAGTGTGTGAAATCATCAGGCTTGAAGACGCACTGGGTTCAGTGAGGCATGGTGACTGGGTGACCGGTGACCTCAGCCACCCGCTTGTCTAGAAGCCACTCATCAACCTCTTGAAATAGTCTATGACTGACCATTCAAAGTCCATAGACAACATGAAACGTTTAGTAGTCTCCATGAGAACGGACGCCGGCACACTGTCGGTATCAACCATTTTAAAACAGAATTCTCTTAGGCACTTCCATCGTAGTTCAGCAACATCTTGGTCATTTGTAACACAAGCAACGGATACTGCACGGCTTGATGCCACTTTGGTAAGAAGAAAGAATGGTGAACGAAAACGACCCAAACTCTTAAGCAATCTGTGTGCCCTGTTAAGCGATGTTTTCTGTTCTTTTCACAACTTGTAGACACTTTGATATCATGATGAATAACGATGTCCTCCCTTCTTTGTCAATCAGGATAGCTCAGGTGTGGAGACTTCTCTATATTGTCAACCTGATGACTGCGAAATGGCTTCTCTCATGTTAAATTCTTAGTTCGAAATCAGAATATCTATTTATTTGTCCATGTAGTACTCACACATTAACTACCCAACAAGAGCACGACCAAATCTCACCGTCAGATTCTGGGGGTATCTAAGAGCCTTGGCAGTTTGCCAAGAACTAGGGGTACCAATAAACATTTTTAACTGAAGATACTTCACCAAATCTTCTCCCTTTTGTTCATCTTGATCTTATACACATGTCTTCCTGAGGCATCGTGTACTCTCACATTTTTAAAAAAATGCTCTTAAGCGATCGTTCCTCAAGCTAAGAAAGAAACAAAGAAACAATGTTACGAAAAATGAAACCAGACAAACAACTGCTCACAAATGCAGCATAGTGTCATCACTAGGATACCTTAGCTGAATTACAGACTTCCGTACTGTCTGATTTATTTAACACTGCCATAACTGCTGTCGATTTTTCATTAACCCCCCAGCCCAGACTTGACGCTTAAATAACACCAGCTACATGTTCTCCTCTAATGCTTGTATTTTCGTCAGAATCAACACAGATCAGATGCAAAATTTATCTCCTACAAAAATTTTGTACGGGGAGCCTATCCATCTAAATATTACATTCTGAAAGTTGCATGATGTATCACACTTGCTGATTGGAACAAAGAGGTAATCTTTATTTTTTAATGTTAACCTGGGGGAACGTGTACCACTCTTTCTCCGCGCCACCACTTTTGCAGATTAAATAAATGGTCGCGCAGTTCTCTTTGCCGTCGCAATCTGAAAGTTTTCTAAGACATCGTGTCACTCATAAAATCGTCGCCAGATAGTTTTGTTAGTGTTGTTTTCACTTTTAGCATGCCCGTATCTTCCATTCCACTCGGCAAAGCTTCTCTATGGTGCCACGTGTTCTTTGTTTGTATCCAGGATTCGTGAAATATCGCATGCTTGGATGACTAAGTAGTTGTGTTCCTTATTAGGCTCTTGCTCTGTTTTATCCAGTAAGTACAAAGAATCAGAGGTTGGCCTGCATCTGTGAAGATTGCATAGGAATAGCTCCTACATTACTTCAAGTATACCTGCTCCTTATCATCTGTCTTACTGTTTCCTGCGCAACTACATTCATTTTATTTTTTCGCATGACTGTTTTCGGTTGTTCAAACTTTACGTTCAAGTTCGTTTTCTTTTGCATCATTTCTCCCCCTTTGTTTTCTTTTGCTGTCTCAAAAACCTCTACTGTTGTGTAGGGTCATATTCAAGGACTATTTACAAAGTCAAAGTTCAAAAAATTGTGTTTGTATTGCACTTCAGGAAAAATCATACATATTCCTAAAAGCTTAACCAAAATCGTAGCACTCAAGGGTGTAACAAGAGCACCAGAAAGGGGCTTTCTGTACCGACTAGATTGGAGCCCATGAAGGACTTGAACAATGCTGAGAAACGAAATGGTGGCTGTGGAGCAATGAACTGACTTGTACTTGCTTTTATAGTATATTGCACAGTAGACGTTGTGAGGTCCTTTAATTCGTATGGTCTTACCGGCAGTTTCAAGAGCAACGTTACTTTTGCATTTGAAACAGGATGGTGAGTGTCTATCCCCTGTTGTATATTTTTCAGATGCAATTCATGCTTTTATTTAGTAGACAAGGCAAGGTGCGCCTTCAAAAGTGGTACACATCTTACTCTGATAAAGAAAAAAAGAAGATTTTGCGTGACCTCACAACAATTGTGCTCTCTCGGAAGCCGAAAATGTGCTCTTTTATAGAGTGGAAAGATCTCAAAGTCGTTTATCGCCGGTAATTCGTTTACTTGGTTGTATTCAGTTGTCTCTTTAGCTACGCCAGCTTATATTTCTGTACTGCAATTGAACCACAAGATAACGAACTTCTGACTTTGGAAATAATTCATAGATATGTGGAACTTCTAGACAAGTATTTTGGCAGTGTAAGTTTGTTATGTAACTGTTTCACTTTTTCGCTGTTGATGTTTGGATATTTCGTCAGTGTTATGGCTTGCACTTATGCACAGTGGTGCATCCAACATCAATAGTGCGAATAGAGGGAACTTTTAGTTCTTGAGCTCTCACCTCTACATCTTGAGTCTCGGTTGCTTTTTTCGGTTATGCTCTTTCGGTGGTCGCGGAAGTATTTGTAGTTTACCTCTCATAACTTTTAAGGTATACCTTCAAAAAAAATACATACAATTACTATAGTAATTGTCGGTCTGAAGAGTTTTTTTGGGAACTCAAGGTTTGTTTGTTTAGGGAAACGATAGATGATAGTGGCGAAATCGGTCACTCTCTTGCAATTCCTGTTTTGTAATCACTTCGAAGTGATTACCAAGAGATTTAAAAAGTGGTGCAAAAAATAGGGTGAGCAGGGAATGGAAAGTACTTTTCGGAAATGTGACGAGTGATAATATGGCGGAGATATAGATCTTATAGCAGATACTAAGGTTGGGCAGTGCAACGATGGATAAGCATACCTTCAGCTACTACCGACGAATGTTGGTGGTAATCGGTTTGCCCGCATCTACTTATCGAGCGTTCGTTTGAGTCAGCTGATGTGGGTGTGACTACGTTTTCTGGCGGTGCGTCCCACATGGCACACACTGTGTGAGGACTTAGGTCCTACTCTCCTCTGTGTCCTATGGTAGGGTATGCGAGTGATGCTCCCACAACTGTTTTGGATCTTATGGGGTGGTCTACTTAGTGGGTGATCTCGTGAGTTGTTATTAGGTCGCTTCTTCCCCTTCGATAGCTTAAGGTGAGGAAGTTGAGTTGCTCAAGATGGTGTGCATATGTTTTGCTGGTTAGTCCGACAACTGACTTTGTCGCCCTTCTCTGCACCTTGTCAAAGGTCTAGTTGCATTACTGTTGCATAACACTTGACTAGCCCTACGTAAATCAGTGTACGCCATTACCCAACTAATCGGTACCTTACCTACGTGTAAGTACTGATAATAAAAGGTAAGTTAGAAAACATGTCATTTGCTAAAAAGTACTCAGCGAAACAGTTTATTTATTAGCCAGAAGTGAAGAGGTCATATTAAGGGAAGAATGTTAGCTTATTTGTCTATTATTGGCTAGGCTAAGGACTCTGAGCTAGTTGGTGTGGGTCAGCACAAAGAAGATGCAAAAGTGGTGAATGCCGATAGAAGGATGCCTATACGTCAAAACAAACAACTAAGGTCGCCCGTCGGCGTTGTGAAAGATTATTTAACAATTATTTATATTAAATTTTGAGGGGGTTGTGGAGATTTGGAAATATTTCAAGTTGTTATTCATCGAAGACTGACATCAGTTGGAGGAACAAAGGAAACCTGGGAGCACTGGACAGCTGTTTCGTCCTAGGACGAAACAGCTGTCCAGTGCTCCCAGGTTTCCTTTGTTCCTCCAACTGATGTCAGTCTTCGTTGAATAACAACTTGGAATTATTTATATATTTTAAATGTTTGTAAACTTCAGTATCGAAATTCGACCTGATAGAGTTAAATAGGTTGAGCATTGGGTTATTGGATTATAAATGAAATATATTTTGTAAAATCCCAATGAAGTAGAAAAATAAGTTCCTGACGTTTCGCGACTTTATGGAAATCGCTTCTTCAGAGAATAAAACCTGTACAAGCTATCAAATAGCTTAAATAGTAAAACGTGACGAATCAGATCACATTGTCTATACATGATGATAATATGAGCGTGAAAGTCATAGTTATGCTGGTCAGAAAGCGTTCACAATTTGTTTTTGTTTATGAGTTAATTAGTCTGGGGTTCAATGTGATATAAATATGTGTATATATAACTGGGTGTGGAAAAATAAATAGATAATATGGATGACAAAATTCGGTTTGTTTGTGTGCATGTACCTTTGACTAGATCATTGTGTGTGATGTGTTGTTTTTGGAAATACTGTCCAGGTTGGTTGGATAGTTAGGCCTTCCTCTCTGTCGAGTACATTAGGATTCAACATAATGTTATACCTAAATGTTTATATGTTAAACCTCCTGAACATTTATGGCGCTCTATCCAAGCAGCATGAAGTACGTCACGCACCTTCCTCAGAGAACATATACACAGGTGTACCGTCAACTTGAAACATATCGTGAACGATTAAAGAATTTAGATGACATAATTAAACTTCTCCTCCCCATTGAACTGCATGATGCAATCTTTCTTACATTCAACCAAAGAGAAAACCATTTTCTGAAAATTTCCGAATGCAGACAAATTTGAAAGAATGAAAGCGTCAAAAGAAGGAAAGAAAACCCCATCAGATAAAGACCAGTCCAGCAATTTGAAGGTTGTCCGTAATTTATCCAACAGAAACCTGTCAGAACATGAGATCGCACTTTTGAGAAAAGGTCTGAACTTTAACTTAGACAGGAAACCACTCAGCACCCTCGAAGTGGCACCCATCATCGAATCAGTGATCGGTAAACTACGAGATGAAGACGCGTACACTGTACGTCATAAAGCTTCTCGCATTCAACAAAATCAGGTATATATGCTGCCAAACATTTCAAACGAAGAATGATTAGCCCTCCGCAATCTATGAATGGATAAAACAATCGTAATTGCCAAGGCAGATAAAGGAAATGTAACGGTGATTATGAGCAAAACCGACTACGACCGTAAGGCATATGAACATCTTTCAACCGGTCCCTATAAAGAAATCGGGTCAAAATAGTGCTAAGCAACAAAAACGAGATGAAAACAAACTGGTCAACTTTTAAAGGAATTGAAACCTTTCGTCGTATACTCATTATGGTTCTCCCTTTATCCAAAATCATGCACTTCATTACGCTTCTATGGATTACCGAAAATTCATAAACCCGGTGTCCCTCTGAGACCAATAGTAGATTTTACAAACTCTTCAATATATGCTCTATCTAAATATTTAGCATGATTATTAAAACCTCTCCAACGCTCTATTATCAGCTCAATAAAAGACTCTTATGAATTCAGTTCAAGAATATCGGAATTATCTATTGCAGAGAATGAAACAATGGTATACTAGTATTCCCATTAAAAAATGTTTAGACTTCATAAATGAATTACTAGAAGGTGATCACACGTTGGCAGATAGATCTCCGTTGTACCCCAGCCTCATCATGAAGGCACTCAACTTTTGTTTAAAGTTGACACTCTTCACGTCTAGAGGAAAACTATACAAGCAAACTAATGGAGTCGCTATGGGTTCCCCGGTGTCCCCTATCGTTGCAGACCTTTTCATGTCCCACATTGAATCAACCATCTTTTCGAACACCATCGGACCACGTATTTGGCTCAGATATGTAGATGATACTTTCGTAATTTCAAAAAGATTTGGCCTCAGAACCTTTTCGAAATTAATTAACACTTATTCTCCATATATCAAGCTCACATGCGAGCATGAAAATGCAAACAGGGAACTACCATTTCTAGACTGTTTAGTTAAAACGAATGGGAATGGAAGTCCAAGTTTATCGATTTGTCGTAAACCAACACATTCAAATCGATATCTTGATTTTAACGCAGCACATCCACTGAGTGTTAAACTTTCACTTGCTCTGAACTTATTCAGGAGAGCCACAAAACTCATCACGAATGAAGATGACAGGCAAATGGAAGTAAGTAATATATCAGATATATCATATTCCAGTAACTACCCTAGAAACGTCATTCAAAAGGTCCAAAAACATGAACAGTGGGAGCCAAGAGAAAACTCAAATGATGGTTCTCGGATTGGTACAATAGTTTTACCATTCCGCCAAGGTACGACCAATGAGTTACGAAGAATCTGAAGAAAGCACCGAATCAGGACCTTTTACAAGACAACCAACACTCTGAGGAATGCTCCAGTCTGCGTAAAAGACAAAGTTCCTTTTACCTCCGCATAAAATTGTGTCTACAAATTAGGTTGCGTCGACTGTGATGCTTATTATATTGGAAAATCATCCCGTGAGATCCTCATTAGGGCTAAAGAACATACAAGCTACACAAAATGACCGCCAAATCATCCTGTAGAATTAGAGAACCTACAAATCAAGTCGGCGATCGCAGTTCACGCCATATATCACAGTCACAAAATGGATATTGAAAATATTAAAATTATTCAAAAGGGTTTTTCAAACTACAAAAAAAGAAGAATAGCAGAGGCATTTCACATTGTGTTGAATCCTAAAGAAGTCCTTATTTGGTCTTAAAAGCTAACTTCCAGACCTTATGAGGACTCTGAGAACAGAATCTTATTTATCACTCTACATGCAGCAACGTTTGAGTGTTGTGCGTTGTGGGGCCTTTAAAACAATATTTACCTTACAACATCTGATTGCTGTCTTTATAAAGAAACTGTTTATATGTGAAATCAAAGTTTAAACCTAAGACTAGTTGTTTAATTAGTAAATGAAGCACGATAAGCATGTGTACATAGAAGTGTAATCATTAAATCTTTGACATCATTTTATCCGTGAGACTTCATAAATTTCTATTTATGTGCGTGATTACAAACGCTTAATTTATTGCGGGTGACTTTCAACTGTGTGTTATTTGACATTATTAAATCAGCAATAAAAAACGACTTGACAAAAATGATTGAATAAGCATTCAAGCGTGAATTTATCGTGTTTCTTTAAGCGAATATGATTCATAATAGTGTGAGAAGAAGCACATTCAAGGATAGTTACTGAGAATTTTGTGTAATTAGGATCTATAGAGTAGCTGAATATCATGCAGTTCCTCTCTTAAGCAGTTCAGTTGAGCCTATTAGTCAGAATTTGAAGTTGAAAACGTGCAGTGATGATTCAATCACTCTGAAAATCGGCCCACTGGATATGCGAAGAATTAAAAAGGTGGACTATTTGTATGTTCTTCAGTCATATCATGTATATACAGAATAATGCTTCACCTCCCAAGCCATGGAGTGAGGTTCAAACGATTGTCAAAAAACTAAAAGTATGGTTACAAATATGTTAAACCACAGATGCGTCATATTACTTTAAAGCAGTACGGCTGTTAATAATATGAAATGGAGTCGTAAAAGTTTAATCTATGTAGAAAGATCAAAAGTAACCTCTTCTACAAGCATATGGTTTTAGGTTTTGAACCACCAAGGCTAAAAGAATGTGATGAATGTAGGCATGTGATATAGTTTCGTCTGATCAAGTTGTCGGCATTAGGTCTTCAGACTTTGATACGTCAAAGCATATTTTAATTCTGCGGATCGTCAGAATATGGACAGTATTCTACACAAAAGTTAAACAGCAGCAGCTTTTGCCGTTGGTTAGTTGGGGTGCTAAGTAAGCAGTAGTTTTATGTCCTATATCCTAATACTTCAATTCATTTTCTTTTAAACAGGTGTGTGAACTGGACATTATATTTCATTTTGAGAAGGCATATTACGTGTTGGACGAGTTCATGTTGGGTGGAGAGGTTCAAGAGACTGGAAAAGAAAGCGCTCTGAATGATATTGATATGCAAGATTTGATTCAAGAGGTGGGATAATAAAAGTATTACTTTCATATTGCATATTCAGTTTTTTTCCCGATTATAAATGAGTATTTATCTCTCTGTTAACTAAAGGAAGAGACACCTCAAGGATTTTTCGAGGAACAAGGTATTGGATTATGTGTTTGCTGCATGTGGGCACTGTATATGGTTTTTATGCATGCATACTCAAATGTCAAATTCTGTGTTTCGAAATCACCTGTTTTCTACTTTAAGTTTCTAAATTCTTAAGTTTGGTAACTTTTACACGAAACACCGTTTGTAATGTGGAAATATAATGTCAGTCAAGTGCAAACAGACGATCTGAGACCTTGTTAGACTCTTCTGAGGGTACCCTCATTACTGACTCTTGGATTAAGTGTTATCACTTTTTATAACCTGGAAGTGTCACATAACTTTATCGACCTAGATGTCTTGTGAGACTATTTAACTCTGAAAGGAATTCCTAACATATGTACCACCGTTAAGGCTCTATTGGTATCTGAGCAGTTATTTTGGTATTGATGGTAGTTACTCATTTTAAGCTATTTGAATCAGAAGTGTCAATTAGGGATATTTATTATCACCATTCGTACTCATGTTTGCATAGATATTACTACTGAGGTATTCCCTTTACGGTCAAACTCTGCCTTAACACATTTTGTTCGGATGGCGCCTTTGATCAAGAAATATTGCAATTGTCGGTTGCCGGTATTTATACCTTACTTATACCGAAACCTATCGAAGGGTAAAGATCTGATCGATTCATTTTCAGTTAGGTCTGAAATCTATCTAGCTTTCTCTAGCTTGCTGTTCTTGAGCTGCAGTTAAATATCAAGTAATTATGGACCCCAAGATGTTAATCCGAACTGAGATAGGAAGACTTTCCCTTTCATAAACTGGAGTGGGGTTAGTGTTCTCGATCAGTTGGACTTGACTACCTCTAATCCACATACACTAACCAGTGTTTAAGTTTAACTGATTGTTTTCCACCTCCATTCTTGAATACTTCTGGTGTCACTTCATCCTATCCTTTAACTATGGATTGCTTTAGGTTTGAATCAACCTATACCTACACTCCGATCAAGTTGAAGCTCGATACTCTGCAACTGAGACGTGGCTGTAAGGTAGTTGAACTATTCTTTATAGTGTTCTCAAATTTCAGGCCATCTGTTCTGACAGCTTATCAGGCTTCTGTCCTTCTTCTTGGTTGTCTCTTTAACCATCATCTTTTTCATACCAGCTTCCTTAATAAGTCTTCACTATCTTCTAGTATTACGTAGTCCTAATATCTTTTCCATCTCTTCTGATTCCCCTACTAACCTTGAAATAGCATGCTAGTGGTAACTGGATTAGGTTGGAAGAGGGTTCAGGGTGCCCAGAATGAAGTGTCACCAGCTCATGAAACTGCTAACTGTTGGTCTGAACCTTACAGGGAGATGTGGACTGCCTGACTGGTATCCCTGAGATGATAAGAGTCATTGGTTGAGGACTCTTGGTGACATGACTGAAAATTGGTTGCAGTGCCGCAGATGTATTCTTTCCTTGACGTCTTTTAAAGCATGAGAATTTACACTTACTTTCATTTTCATATCCTCTCTCTTCTCAATATACCTTCGTGTACTTTGATATTAATCTTTCTTTGTCCACTTGTTCCTTGAATACTACTGGGAAATGTGGGACCTTGAATCGATGTATTTGTGTGCGAGTTCGTACTGTATTTTTGTCTGTCTCTCCACTCACCACTGTTTTCTGTCAATAGGAGAAGTCATACAGCTTACATTTAATTTGTGTTCATCAGGATTGTAGCCAACCGAAATGACTTTTTTTCTCAGCAATCGGCTGGGTAAGCCTTCAGTTGTAGATTTTGTAGATTTTACTTATTCTGCTCTTTTTTGTTGTCCATCGCAGCACAACTGCATAATAAAAGGGATATATATGCATTACTGTAGTTTTAGACTAATAGTCTATATAAAATTGCAGTCTTTCTACAAAAGAAATTCTCCTGAAAGTATTATGTTATGTTTTGTTTATATTAAACGATCAATACTAGATTATAGGGCCTGGCAAGTAATTATAGGAAATGCTTATTTATAAGATTGATTACATTTTCGTTGTAATTTTGTTATTGTATGTGCTTTCACTACAAACTTTCATAGCACACATATACGCACACGGTGGTTTTATTTGTTTCCATATAAATACTTGTGTGTTTCGATGTAAACGGTGTTAGCATGTTTTATGTTTTGGTGAGTATTTGTTCCTATATGTTGTACTATTCAAACCAATGAGTATATTTGTTAACAGTGTGTTTGTGTAAATATAATGCTGATTTAGTTTGTAGATTATATTTCATAATTATAGTCCATCAACTTCTCTGACAATCACTTTTTTTGCATGATGCTTTCCTGCACTGACTGACATACTCAAACAGCTGTATAATATTCGAAAATGCTGGACCATAGTATATACACACGTCAAGTCTTATTTTACTTAGGATTGAAGAAATACTCTGTTAACGAACGCGAAAATAATGACGATATATAGATCGAGAGATTCTTGCTAATCGCCTTCAAGCATCCAAGAGAAAACTTGAATGAATATTTAATGAAGTTTCTTCTTTCCTTTCTTTTTTGATCTCATCATAGGAGGAGTGTAAGACCAAAGAAGAACAAGCCGATATCAGTGTAGTCGATGTATCAGGATTTTGAAATGAATAGAAAAGTTTTGGAATCACTTACAATTTTTCATTCTTGAAAGAAAGATATTTCCCCCATCAAATACATACATATCTGATATGTGTACACGTATAAACTAGAGTTGTAAAAAGCACAAAGGAATAATTAATTTTCTACACACTTTTACTTTTATCCACTTTTTTTTCTTTTTTAAACCTATTTCTTGCGTAAACGTTGAAAAATGATTTATTCCTCATCTTTGTGATAAGTTTTTTTTTTGTTTTTCAATTATCTTTTGATTGTACTTTTCATGTTGTTTTTGTAAGTATAATTTTTAATATACCCTTTTACATATCATTCAAAACATACATGCATTGGCAATTTTGTGATAGTCCAATTTCTGTTTTGTATAATTTGATAAGTATTCTCACTCAACATATTCTCACCAAAAGTGTCTTTTGGATTTCATATTAGATTTGTTTGTTTGATATATAGAGCACAATGATATATGATTATCTAATTTATACTGGAAACGTCATCAAGTAGATGATATTGTATCACTGTGTTCTATATATCAAATAAACAAATTTAATGTGGAATTATATTCTACCACAATGCCCAAGTTTTACATTTATATTAATGTCTTTTTTATTGTTTTAATGTTTTTATGGTGGCTATTTTTTAAATCACTCTATCTGTCTGTTTTGTATGCATTTGTTTATTGTATGTACACTTTAATATGATTCTTTGTTTTTGCACCCAATTTCTAACTCCCCATCTGTTTTACTTTAAAGTCTTTGGTGATATTATTGTACATCTAACTACAGATATACATAAATTGGATAACTAATCAAGTTGAGGCTTTGATTGTTATTGGTCGTGTTGGTTGTAGATTATCATCATCAGGTGGTCAACACAAAACAGTCGTTGTAAGTTACTTCATCACCGTTGATTCTAAATTCTCAAAAGGAAGTTGTCTAAACGATGGCGTGAGTAATATGCATTACTTTCGCTTGCGTACTTTCTATTTCTCATAAGATTTTACTGATTATCATCTATTGCAGAGCCTTCTGGACACTTTGAGTGACAATATGAATGTTTGGGATGCGTTTCTTCCCACCCAAATGGAAATCGTTACTGCAGGATTGGTCTTCAACGTTGCCTCCGCTAACAATAGAAAGTGTAGTGGTTGAGTGTTGACCACTTCACTTACTCTAGGAGGTGGGCTCAGCCCTGGTGGCTCAGTGGCCGGTGAAATCTCTGTACGAATACAAAAGACTCGGCCTGCTTTTGCCAATTTACGCCACCTATGGCGCCGCCGTGATATCCGTTTGTCTATTAAGGGTCGCGTGTACTGCACAACAATCCGCTCTGTTCTACTGTATGGCTGTGAAACATGGCCATTGAAGGTGGAAGACATGAGAAAGCTGGCTTCAGGTTTTTGACCACCGTTGCTTTAGGCCGTATTCCGTGGTGTCACCACGTGAGTAATGCAGAAGTGAGGTATAGAGTTTTAGGGAGTAGAGGTAAATCAGTTGACGAGGTTATGAACCTTCATCGGTTGAGATGGTTGGGACGTGTGTTACGTATGCCTAGTCGCCATCTGCCTCGTTACACAATGTTGACCGAAGTAGGTTCAGTCTGGAAAAAGGCTCGAGACGCCCAGACTTAAACATAACATCAATGTACGAAGTCTTCGACTATTGGTTTGAGCCGTGTGGGACGATGCAGACTAGGTGGTTAGGGTCCACGGGACAAGAGAAACCAGCGGTTGGAGACTCTACGCGATGTCGCTCAGAACCGATGTCAGTGGCGCAGATGTATACATACATTATCCTCATCTTAACGCTATACCGAATATCACCATTTTCTCATTCTTCCTTTCTCTCTTTTAGTACTTTATGTTTCTTTTGACTGAATCTTCTTCATTTTCCACTTCACTGCCTTTTTACTCAATGTACCGATATGAGCTGTGACAACTTGGACCGTTATGCAGTAATACCTGGTCCTATGGTGATTTGAATGGATTGCGTTTTTTACTTAGTCACAGATTTCTTTTCGACTTAGAAGCACTCAACTAATAATCTACTGAACATGAAAAAACTAGGTATCTATATATTTATTCGAACATGATTAAAGTCAGTGGATATAGACACACTTTAGTAATCTGCTGATCAGAGTTTTGAATAGGGTTCTTCCCAAGTAGTTGACGAACACTTTCACCTTTGAGTAAATCCTCAGCCTTTAAATATTTCTCCTTACCGATGACTATAGTGGCGCGTTCTTAGTCTCACATGTGTGTAACGATGTTTTTCTTATTTTCCACCATTTTTAATGTTTTCTACTTCCGAGTGGTTGGTTCATTGGGATCTTTCCTCTGTCTTGTTAGGGGTACAATTGCTTGCCGTATTTCTTGTTGGGTGTCCTCATTTAATCCTAAAGTTTTAAATGACGGTTGTAAAGAAGAAGTCCTTCCACGTTTGTTAGTGGTTGTTTTGATAAACTGACAACACAGCCACCTGTTTCCCCCGTTGTAGGTGTTTTTGAAATCGGGACCAGCTTTTTCCTCAGGACTTTTCTTCGTTTACCTTTGTGCCGCCTCCTGTTGTCAACATTGTCATGTGCTATTTTGAAATAATGCAGTGTAGTTTTCTCTTTTGTTCATCAGTCACAGTTTGGTACTTCTGAATCCGATAATTTGCATCTGTAATCACTAGCTGTACCATTCGTCTCCCTCTTTGTACACCCAACTTATATCCATCTGGGCAATCAATTGGTGGTCTATGTCCGACAATCTTCAGCAGAACATGCTGACGTAGACACTCATGGGGGAAAATTAGTTGTTCCCTTGGGGAAGTTCTACCATCTTCGCACAACATGAAACGTGTTACGCCTGTATGATTTAGAAATGATGGAGAATATTTGAAGCTGAAGTGAATCATCTCGGTTCTGTTGCATTCATTGAACTGGATGATTTGGTCATGAAGGTTTCATCGCCTTTCAAAACAACATTATCGGCACTAACTTCAACTACTATTACGTTGAAGTTAAGTCTCTTTTTCCAGCACTTTCACATTTCCTATAAGTTTGATGCCGTAGGTGAGGGGGTGATAACCCGTTCGTTTCTATCTGTTAATCTAAAACAGAAAATTTTCAAAGTGAGCATCGATTAGCCTATGGAAAATCGTATCATGTTCACACAGTGGCTCGGATTAATAATGGTTTCACGCTTTTTTTTCTAACAGAATTTCATCAACTGCCGTGAGTAAATCAAAGATCCGCTTATTATTCAGCCAGTGTTTGACTTTCAAGTCTTACAGATTACAGTTTAATGGTTAATATTTAGTGACCTATGTTCAGTTCAGTTATCTTATGACTTTGTTGGAAAACAGAAGTCTACCTAAGAAAAGATTATCTGTTACAGTTAGCTTTATTTTATGGCTAAAATGTCTATTTCTCTATTATTACAATTTCTAGTGAGAAGGAAAACATGGATTACGGCTATTTTCGAACTGGCGCCATTCAGACTGCATTTTTAGTGTAGCAAATCTATTTCTGATTACCAAACTATTAAGAACAACTTGACAATTAGTTTTCGCAGTAGTATAGGAATTGAAATAAATATCGTCCATTCTTGGGCTGTTTTTAATGTTGTTTCTCTGTGTGGCACACTGTATATTCCTTGATAATTGTCATATCTATATTATTCCTTTCTAGTCATGACCACGAAAGAAAATTCCTTGGCATATGCAGTCATCCCGATGCAACCATAATATTTCAGTAGATAAAAGATATTTAGATATTCTCCAACTAGTTTGAAACTGTGATGACAACTATCTTCAAAAATATGACACCGATAAAACCACACATGTTTACGTAGGTTTCTTAACTGAAAATAGTTAATGCATTGATTACCTGTTTAGATTATAGCACATGAATGGGTTGTTTTTCATCCGGTTAAAGTTTAAAACAGTTATACGAATTTCATTTCTGAAAAAAATATTTGTCTTGAATCAGTGGTGAGTTTATAAAAAGCAGATATTTAGTCCTGCATAGACTAGTTACTTAACGTTCTGCAAGTTTATTATTATTATTTGTCCCTTGGGTTCCTAGTGGAACATACGGCTTTAGTAGCACGTCACCATTTCACTTTGTTCTCTGCAGTCGTTTCAATCTGGCTCTACCACTGCCTATAAGCTTTTATTTTCCCCCTCACACTATCGCCTCCATGTCACCCTCTACGTCTAACTCGTCGTTTCCCCTTTGGGTTGCATTCTAGGGCATGGCGTGTGATGGCCCCGAATGGTGTACTCAGTGTATGCTCGATCCATCTCCGCTTTCTCCATATTTATTGGGCGATGGGTTCTTGGTTGGTTCGTTGCCAGGCCAGAGTTCCTTGTTGCTTATTCTCTCTGGCCATCTGATCTTCAGTATCGGGTGAGTGTAGGCGTCAGCTGTTGATGTAAATCTGTAGTTAGTTGGGAATGCTTTTCGTAACGCGCCAAGTCCCTCAACCATATAGAAGCACTGACCTGACATTAGTGTTGAAAATCCGGATCTTGTTCACGCTTTATGCTGAGTGGAGTGCAGTAAATCTCCACACTGGTTTCAGGTTAATGAAGGTTTTTCTTGCTTTTCCAATCCTGGCTTTGGCATCCTTATCTGTCCCACCTATAGTTGAAACGATGCTGCCTAGGTGGGTAAAAGAGACTATTTCCCTTAAGTTTCTCCCGTTCAGGGTGATCGGTGCTTGTTATTGTTGTTGGTTAGGCATCTTCATCACCTTTGTCTTCTCTACGTTACTTTAAAATCCCGTCTTCGCTGCCTCTTCTGTCAAGCTGTTGGTTTTTGTCTGTAAGTTTGAATTGTTTCCAATTAATTTGTTGTTGATTTCCACTCAGTCTGCAGGTCGTTTTGATCGTGATAACTGATATTAGTTCAGTAGTACAAATTGGTATACTAGTAGCTTATTGGTAAGTAACCAATATTATATCGCCTAATCCTAAGTTTTATTGATAGAGTCTGTAATTTTGTAACTGATCTGAGTAACTCATCAGTTACATTCGAAGTTGGATGGGGGAAAGAAATTAGCAGTAAGTTATCCACATAGGACTTGGATCTTATTGTATTCATTCCTTGAGACATTCACCGCGTCAAGAAAGGTCAGGTCGAAATCTCAGTAGTAATAACTGTTGCTTCGTCATTCGGTTACAGAAGTCCAATTATTTTGGATTGCAGTGTTAATACTAGTTGGGTGTGTCTTTCGGGTTCCCTGGAACCATAAATTACTACTTTCTACCCATTCCTGGACCCATCAGTAGCATGCTTAGATCCAACAATAGAACTTAACTGCCTTACAATGAATGGATGATAGTTTGTTTCAATTTTGCGGATCCCATAGACATTATTTCCCAATCCGTTGATACTTAAACAATAACACTTAGATTTATTATGACTTTCATCAGAAACTTCTATCATCAAATCAACAAAATTTGATGCTTATTTTTAAAGATTGATTATCATCGCATCGTTTGATCATGTCCAGAACTGATACGCTATTTCGTGTGTAAAATTTTAACTTTTATTCATATTTCAACGTGTGATGAATAGGTCACGTTTTCTAAATTGATACAATCTAGAAAAGTGAATTAAGAATGTTCAGTTCTGATTTTTTAAAGAGCCTTTTGTGAGCATGAAGAAAATTGCTCTACCGATCAATATTGTATAAATAAACACATACCGGATACTAACGGTTGTTGGACTGTTATCTGCAAGGTTCTTCGATAGCCATTATATATTGTAGATTATATCTGTGTATTCTTTGGCGATTAGGACGAGGAAGAGTTCAAGGTGG